GTGCCAACACAGATCTGTTGGTTCTTTTGGCAGCCCATGGCACTTTCAATATTCTCCTCCAACACCATAACTCAAAAGCATCAATTCTTCTATGGTTTTCCTTATTCACTGTCCAGCTTTCACATACATATGAGGTTACTGAAAATCCCATGGCTTGGGTCAGGTGCACCTTAGTGCTCAAGCTGACATCTTTGCTCTTCAACACTTTAAATGGTCTTGTGCAGCAGATTTGCCTAATGCAATACGTTGTTTGATTTCTTGACTGCTGCTTCCATGAGTGTTGATAGTTGGTCCAAGAAGAATGAAGTCCTTGACAACGTCAATCTTTTCTTCATTATTAAGAATGTTGTTTATTGGTCCAGTAGTGAGGGTTTTTGTTTTATTTACATTGAGATGCAATTCAGTTTAAATACCACTTCATCAGAAAGCCTCCCACACTGGATGATAACCTTTCAGAGATCCCATATTTTTCTTTTACAGCATTCCCATACCAATTCTATTTGATTGATGTCTGTTTCCCTTATTAAACTAATAGTAGACAGCAGTGTTGTTGGTACACATGTATCTTCCCTGCACTTACACAAAGGAGCCCATGTGGAACAGAGAGTTAGCATTGGTCTGCTAACCGAAAGATCAGCAGTTTGAATGCACCAGCTGTTCAGGAGGAGAAAAATGCGGCTGTCTGTTCCCATAAAGAATTACCATCTCAGAAACCCTATGGAGCAGTTCTCTTCAGACCTAGTAGGGTTTCTATGAGTCAGAATTGACTGGAGGGCAGTGGATTTGATTTTTTTTTTTTTTTTCCTTGTGGGGAGGGTAGAGTTTGGTACGTACACCAGACTGTGTATACACTGCAGATACTTTTACACGTAGGAGATTTCTTTTTTCTTGCTGTTGTGATTTGCCATCAAGGCAGCCTCCACTCCTGGCAATCTAATTTATAACCTCATTTGAAACATTGTCCGTTCTTGTGCAAGCTTCATGTGTTTGAGCCCATTGTTGTGGTTATTGTGTGAAACCTTCCTAGGTGTTGGGGGATCTTCTTCCAGCTTATATTATTGTTGTATTCTGTTGTGATCCATAAGGTTTTCATTGGCTAATTTCAGAAGCAGATTTCCAGTCCTTTCTTCCTAGTCTGTCTTAGCTTGTTCTCCATGAAACCTGTTCACCCTGGTTGACCCTGTTGGTGTTTGAAATACCAGTGGAATAGTACCCAACATCACAGCAATGTAGTAAGCCACTGCAGTATGACAAACTTACAAATGGGTGGTGGTCCTACTTTTGTTTTTTGTTTTTTTGTTTAAAAGTAAAAGCATCCTTACCGAGGGGCAGGGTTGGGAGTCAGCAACCGCGGAATCTTCTCCGGCATGTGTTCCTGAGGAGGACAGCCGAGCGGAGATGCCACTTGGGACCACTGCCAGTGGGATGAACAGGATTTTCAGAAAAAGGATGGAGAGGCTGTGGTGGACACTGACTGTTGTCGGGTCAGTGAACCGCGTGTCTCAGAAGCGACTCCAATGACAGCCATGGAACTGCAGGTCCTAAATGCCTGGAAAGGAGAGGGGTTTCCATAACTGAGATTGAAGATGTCACCCTGGGAGCAGACACCCATCTGGAGAAGAAACAACTTCCAACTGGGCCTGTGGCAGGCTACCAAGGCTGTCACTGCACTGACTCTGATGCTGTCACATGGCCAGGTCCTTCTGCCCAGGGAGAGCAGCACTGATAGGAGATTCTGGCTTCAAAGAATAGAGACAATATGGAGACCATGAAGAACGTGACTTAGAAACAGAAGGCGGAAGCCTCAGATGCATGTGAAAGCTGGACAGTGAATAAGGAAGACTGTAGAAGAATTGATGTATTTGAGTTATGGTGTTGGAGAAGAATATTGAAAGTGCCATGGGCTGCCAGAAGAACAAACCAGTCTGTGTTGGAAGAAGTGCAGCCAGAGTGCTCCTTGGAAGCCTGGATGGCGAGATTTCATCTCTCATACTTTGGACATATGATCAGGAGGGTCCAGTCCATTGAGAAGGACATGTGCCTGGTAAAGTGGAGGGACAGTGAAAAAGATGGATTGTCACAGTAAAAGCACCAGTGGGCTCAAGTGTTGCAGCATTTGTGAGGATGGTGCAGTATCAGGCAGTGTTTTGCTCTGATGTTATAAGGTTGCTATGGATTGGAACCGACTTGATGACACCTAACAACAACAACTCTCTTCCTTCCCCCCTTACCACCACCAAATAAATGTATTTTTAGCTAATTAAGGATCTTGGAGCCTGATCTCTGTTTACACCAACTTTTAAGACTGACCTTTGACAATTGGTATAACACAGTCCTCAGCGACATTGTTCTACATTTTACTTTGGTGAGTAGCAACTGGGATCTGAGAAGCTCATGAGCAGCCATTGGTCTCTTCCTGTCTGGAGGAAAAAAGGAGCTATGAAAACCAAAGGCATTTGAAAACAATTAGTCCCATGGACTAATAGATTATGGGAATATTTATCTCCACAACTTTGAGACCAGAACAAGATGGTGCCCGGCAACTACTACCAACTGCTCTAGAAGGGATTCCATTAGAAGGTCCTGGGTAGGCTGGGAGAACATGTGGAACACACTAAAATCATTGAAAAAGACCAGACATACTCATCAGATAGAGACTGGTGGAACTCTGAGATGATGGTCATTGTTGCCCTTCAGGTCAGGAACTGACCATGCCCCCATGGTTCAGTTTTCAACAAAGCAATAGATTTCTATATGGGGAGGTAGGGTGGGCAACAACACTAGTGAGCTATGCACACTATAAAATGGTCAACCATTCGAGATCAAAAGGGCAACACTTACTAAGGACAAATTTCAGAAGGGTGGGGAAAGAAGGAGGAATGGAAATAAACACAGGGAGGAAGTGGATAAGTGACTGCAATCATTGAAATGGAACGAAGTGTAGAAGTGTACCATTTGTTGAACATAAAACTGATGATATGCTCTGTAAACCTTCACTCAATTCACAAAACGTTACTATTTTAAAGTAACCATCAGGAAAAGCAACCCAAGATGGTTAATCATGCTCACCTCTAAGAAGTTTATTGAGGTCTTGTAACTCCCTTGTGATTTAGCGTGACTATTAGAATTATAGTTCACCTATATGTAGCATGTGATTAGCATTGTTAAGAAATAATATAAATATTGCCTGTAATTGAAAGCTAATGAACACCCCTTAAAACACCCTGCATTGCTATCAAAATGCTCCCTTAGCTGGTTTCATAATAAAGGCTATCTCTCTCTCTTTCAAAAAAAATTTAAAAAGTAAAAGCAAAGGTTGTTTATTGGGCATCTCGCAAGTCAGAGTGGCACAGAGCAGCCAGGCTGTGGCACTGTGTTCCCTGGACCTACTTTCATACGGGTTATGAGCAGAAGTGAGTCAGTCAGAGTGCATGTTGCTGCTGTCATGCCACACACGGATATTTTTCATGTCAAGCCTTATGAAGCTGCTTCATTGTTTCCAAGTGATTCGTAATTTACCCATTTTCCTATTGGTATTTAGGCTACATCTGATTTATATATATTTTTTATTTTGCTTCCATAAATGTGCTGCAATAAAAATCCTTGTACAGACTTGAGTTCTTAATTTTTTCAGTAGGGTAGATCCTTAAAGAGGAGATGGCTTTTCCAGCATATTTGCCAAAATTCTCTTTATATAGCCTTTTTAAACTGATATAAATAGGAGGGCCTGGTATGGTGCTTTAGGATAAGCATTGGACTGCTAACCACATGGTCAGTGATTCAAATCCACTTGGAAACTGCATACATTAAGTTGTTGTTACGTGACATAGGGTTTCCGAGGCTTTAAGTCTGTGTGGGAGCAGGAAGCCTCATCTTTCACCTGCAGAGTGACTGGTGGGCTTGAGCCACCAACCTTGTGGGTTACAGTCCAGTGCTTATCCTATGAAGGCACCGTGCTCCCCTATATTAAGTAGGGATTTTTAAAAATAAGAATAGTGACTATCATACAAATTACAAATATTTTTTACATAATTATTCATATTCCAAACAGCTTTTCTACTCTAATTTTGTATTCCTTGAACTCATTCTCTGTCTTACTTAAAAGTCACAGTGTTATTTTTAAAATACTAGTTTAAAATACTAGTCTTATGCCTCACAGCCTCTGAACATGATACTTCCTCTGTCTAGAATGACTATTATAGAGTATTGCAGTTCTTTTGCAGGCTGTTGATTCTAACAATTCTTCCTTAATTCCTTTTCGTGTTTCCTAGTCCGGTTCAATTTGAACCTCAAAGTTGGTGATTCAGACTCATCAGCTGCTCCTTGGAAACCCTATACAGGGTTGCTATGAGTTGGAACCGACCCGACAGCGCTTGACAACAACACTAGCAACTCATTAAATTGTTTATTTACTTATTGCATCTCCAAACTGTAATCTCAGTCAAAGCCCTTCATAGTATAATAGCTTTTGCATTCCCCCCTCTAATATGGACTGTGGTATCCTGACACTACAGTGCCTGTCCCATAGTATGCTCTTAGTAAGGGTGAGTTGAGCAAGTCATTGTGATGCTTCAAAATGCTTTCCTGTTAGAAAGGACCAAACACTTCGTGACAGTTTTACCATTTTGTTCCCTCTGGCTTTTTCACTTTTTTTACGTAATGAGCTACTTCAGGTGAGCATGGCCGAGAAACAGAATTCAATTCTTTTTCTGATAATGCATAAAGGATCACAAAGTTTATCTGATCCTGTATGAACTTTTTTATAATGTTTACTTATCTTGTAATGTCTACAAGGAGACAAATCTAGAAAGTAATAAAAAATGTGAGGATATAGATATAGCTGTTTAATGACAGTATTTTTACTTGTATCCTTAGGGAGTTTTATTCCATGAAGGGACTTTATATAATAAGTAACTTGTATTGATATTGAATTGTGAGAATATATGTAATATATTTAGATTCCTGGTCCATAAATATTATTTCTCTTCCTGTTTTTATAGGAGGTTCGTAAAGTGAATGAAAGCATCAAGTATAATCACCCATTGAGAAAATGTGTCGATACAATACTTAAAAAGGTAATTAATCATTATCTATTTTCTTTTGAAATATAAACTTATGTATTATAGTAAAAGCTTCAGAAAAGTATGGAACTGTCTATAGCTGAGGTTTTCCCAACCTCTTTCCGTTTGCATGGAAATCTTAACCATAACCTGGTAATTATTTGTATACGTGCTATGTTCTTTTGTAATACAAGTTTAATATTAATTATTGCCAATATTCCCTACTGAAATTTGGGAGTAAGGATGATGATAAGTAATATATAGTGATTGCTATGAAACAGTGATAAAAATGGATCTTTTCAGTCTATAACAATGTCGTTGCCTGTGATCACTAAAGGCATTGATAAGTCTCTTTTAATCAGTTTCCTACATGTCATTTTATAATGTATTTCATATATCCAAAAAATGAATGACATGATATATTTAGCCAGTTGTTGTTAAGTGCGGTTGAGTCAGTTCCATCATACTACAACCCCATTTAGGGTTTCCAAGGTTGTAAATCTTTGCGGGAGCAGAATCATCTTTCTCCCTAAATTTAGGAAAGGTAATTTAATAAAAACTCATACAATTAAGACTTGATTCACTAGTGTTGAATGAGGGTTATTCATGTGCTCCCACAGAAGTTTATGCCAAGTTACCTTCTATGCATCAACAGAACCACTGAAACAGTACTTCTCTAAACTCTAAATCGGTTGTACTCATTAAAGCTACTGTTTCTTTGAACTAAAACAATTGTCATGAGAATCTGTTCTAATCATCTTTCTCACATTTGCTGCTTTTTGAGATTTAACTCATGGAGGCTAAGTAATGTGTACATGTTTATATAGCTAATAAATGACTAATAGTAGTTGTTGTTGTCAAGTCAGTTCCGACTCAGAAACCCTGTACACAACAGAACGAGACACCGCCTGGTCCTGCGCCAACCTCACAATCGTTGCTATATTTGAGCCCATCACTGCTGCCACTGTGCCAATCCTTCTCTTTAGGGGACTTCCTCTTTTGCTCCCACTGTCTACTTTACCAAACATGCTATCCTTCTCCAGGGACTGGTCCCTCCTGATAACGTGTCTGAAGTATGAAAGGTGAAGTCTGGTTGTCCTGGCTTCTATGGAGCACTCTGGCTACACTTCTTCCAACACAGATCTGTTTGTTCTTTGTCAGTCCATGGTACTTTCAATCTTCTCCTCCAGCACCAGAGCTCAGGCTAGTTAGTAATAGAGATGACTCTAAATCTTAGATTTGTTTCTGTATACTATGCCTTTCCAAAATTTTGCATTTGCCCTGATTCTTCCTCACTGTTTAGCTATGAAAACAACAGTTTCATCAAGTGCTTGCTTAGAATAATCTTCAAATACTAGTTGCCTCCTGTAGGTAAGTTCTCCTGCCCCCCATTCCAAGCTAATGTATCTAAGTTTAAAGATTAATAGAGATGAGAGACATTTTTTTATAGTTCATAACTGAATATATCTTTCAGAACATTTTCAAGAAAACATTGGTATGAAAATTTCAATTATTTAGAGATGCCATGAATATTTATTCTTAAGAAAATTAGAAATACCCATAAACTAAAGATTTATAGTAAAAATTAAATTCTTATCTTTTTGGAAATAGGTTTTTTTAATTTGTTTTTTAACTTACCTGTCTTTTCAGTGTCCTACAGAGCACCAGGAAAAAATGGGCAGGAACATGGATGACTATGAAGATTTTGATGAGAAGCGTAATACTTTTCCAAGTGAAAAAAGCCTAGTAAAGCTGCATAAACAGGTAACTTTATGTATTAATTATAGTTGTTTTAGTTACTGCTCATTGAAAAAGGGATTTTTAGCGAATGTGTATAGAACACATCCTTTGATCTTGCCTGTATCACTATTAGTTGATGTGTTTTGGTCTAACTTAGTTTTTCTGGACAAGAGCACTGTTGGCATTTTGGGAAGGAAGACTGCTCACTGGGCAGAATTGTTACATATAGTATAGAACATTAGTATCCTTGGCTTCACCCAATTAATGTCCCTAGCTCTTCCCCATTGCTGTGGCAAACAAAAACATGCTTCCTGGTGAAGAGTTGAATGACTCTTGGATCCAAACACTGATGGAGATACCCTCTTATTCTCTTTTTTAGGTGATTTATTCAGTTCAGAGGCATCGTCGAACTCAAGTGCAGTGGCAAATTCTTTTGGAACAGGCATTTTATCTAGAAGATGTAGCAAAAAATGAAGCCAATGTAGCACGTCAGTTTGTTCACACCTTTCAGTCGCCAGAGCCAGAAAATAGATTTATCCAGTATTTTTATAATCCGACAGTTGGTATGAAAAAGTATATATTTTCATCCATGTTGAGTTAAATTGTATTTGTATTTAGTAAATTTATTTTATACCATGTGATAAGAGTATGTGAGGGCTTCAGAAAGTATGTGGGAAAATAGAATTAAAACATAAAAAGGAATTTTACACAGACCTTTTGAAGTGCTCTCATATATATAAACTTTCCCCCCAAAGTAGCTATTTTACTCATTGTATAAAATATATATCAATTTTCAGTATCACTTCACAAATAATTACAATTTTCTACAGAAATATTTTATTATTATTAAGTGCTATTGAGTTGGTTCTGACTCATAGCAACCCTGTATAGGGTTTCTAAGGAGTAGCTGGTGGTTGTGAACCGCCAACCTTATGGTTAGCAGTCCAGTGCTTATTATACAGCACCACACCAAGAGTTCATAATGTATGTACTACTACATATAGCATCTTTTGTGTGGTGCACAGTATACTTAAAATAATTTGTTGTTGTTAAGTACTGCCAAATCAGTTCTGACCCATAGTGACCCTGTATAGGGTCTCCAAGGAGCGGTGGGTGAATTCGAACTGCTGACCTTGCAACTCAAACTGACCTTGTGGTCGAGTGCTTATCCTACAATGCCACACTTAAACAATTTTGAATAATATTACATCATAAGCTTGGGTCTTTTCTTTAATTTTGTTGTTGTTAAGTGCAATTAAGTTGATTCCAACTCATAGCAACCCTGCAAAAGGTTTTCAAGGAGCAATTGATGGGTTTGAACTGCAGCCTTGTTGTTAACAGTCCATTGCTTATCTGCTAGCACCCCTAAGAAGTCTTCTTGGATTGTTTCCATTCATTAGTTTATATACAAAACATATACCCAATAGTCATTTCTTTTTTTTCTCCTTCATTATACTCTCTTCAAATGTTACCAAATTTATTAGAAACTTAACGAGATATATTAGATTATCATAGTACTAAAAATATTTCTTTACCATAACTTTTCAAATAAATAATTCCTTGATTCTCTTTTGTATGTTTGGTCTTGAGTATGAAGATTTAATGGTCCAAACAAATATCTCAGATAAATTCTTCAGCAAAGTTCTATTCTTTGTTCATGAAGGAATGATGTAAGCTGTTTTTTATTTATGCAACAAATATTTAAAAATCTCATATATGCTTTGTATTGTCGGGTGCTTCGTATCAGTGGGCAGAATTGATGCATTTGAATTATGTTCTTGGTGAAGAATAATGAAATTACCATGAATCACAGGAAGAAGGAGCACATCTGTCATGGAAGAAACGCAGCCAGAATCCTCTTTAGAAGCAAGGATGATAAGGCCTTTTCACTTATTTAAACATATTATTAGGAGGGACCAGTCCCTAGAAAAGGACATCATGGTAATGTGGAGGGTCTGTGCAAAAGGAGATGAATTGACACAGTGGCTGTAAAAAGAAGCTCAAACATAATGTTGGAAGGATGCACAGGACTGGTAGTGTTTTGTTCTGCTGTGCATAGGGTTGCTATGAATCGGAACTGACTTAACAGCAACTAACAGATTGATGAGCAAACGAGTTGAAGAGGATCTGTTAATACCCTTTCAAATGTTGCACATAGGTCAGGTATCTTGAATCCTGGGATTTGGTCATTTGGTTTCAGAAATATGAGTCAGGGGTTGCTAGGACAAGTTCATGAGTAGGAGAAATGAGATAGAAACCAGTGACTAAATGAAGAGAATCGCCTTAGCCAGGAGCTAAGGCACATATGTACCTAAGGAGGTGAGATGATGCAGTGGTAGGAACTGGGGAACATTCTCTTCTGACTGCTTCTGTTTTCTCTGAGATACTGAGGGGTGTGTGTTGTTGTTATGTGCCGTGGAGTCGGTTCCGACTCATAGCGACCCTGTACAGGGTTTCCGAGGCTATAACTCTTCACTGGAGCAGAAAGCCTCATCCTTCTCCCTCGGAACAGCTGGTAGTTTCGAACTGCTGACCTTGCAGCTCGTAGCCCAATTCGTAACCACTACACTACCAGAGCTCCTTCAGGATCTGTAGGGGTAAGATTTTAGGAGAGAAGAGGTACTTAGAGAAGTGGGCTTGAGAAAAAAATGAAAGGATTATAGTAGGCAGTTTCTCAGGCCCACTTTAAGCTGATGGTTATGACTTTAAAACTAGTCATCAAAGTTGATTATTTTTCTCCTGTGGTGTGCTGACACAGAGAGTTGGGTCTAACCAGAAATTGGAAAACTCGAGAGTGATTATCATTAAAGACTGGGATCTGAGCTGGATAATGAAGGGCATAGAATATGAGGCTATTAAGGAACACTAAAGACTGGGATCTGAGCTGGATAATGAAGGGCATAGAATATGAGGCTATTAAGGAACAGTAAAAAGGGAGTGGAATTTTGTCCAGGTAGAGCCAGTGAAGTTCAGATCTTAGATGGAGGGATTGTTTGGAGAAAGCGATGCTGGGAATTGAGATGATATGGAAGGGTTGGAGTTAATTGACAATAGAACGTGTAGGGATGAGAGGAACTCTGGTGGTGAGGGTTAAACATTAGGCTGCTAATAACAAGGTCAATTGTTCAAACTCACTAGCCACTCTGGGAAAAGAGGAGACTTTCTGCTCACCTAAAAATTTGTATATCGCAGAAAAAACATGGAACAATTCCAAATTATATGAAACAGATCCCTGTAGGGTCAATATGAGCTGGAATTGACTAGATGGCAGTGGTTTTGGTTTTTGGTTTTATGGGAATGGGTAATGGAGGTTGAGTGGAAGGCAAAATCATCAGAGGAGAGGAGGTCAAGGAAATGAGCGACCTAGGTATGTAAATATTGAAATTACCAGAAATGGTACTGAATGTTGAAAAGACAGTGAGTTAGGAGCCCAGATCTCCAATGGATCAAGTGAAAATAGTCTTTTTGATTTCATGAGCTTCTTGTTCTTTTTATCTAAATTCATTCTGAACAAAAAGTTGCCAGAAGAGTACCTAGAATTCCCAAATACCTTTCACCAGATTTCCCAAATTGCATTTTATCGTATCTATTTTGTTTTCATTTCTCTCTCTCTCTCTCTCTCTCTCTCTCTCTCTATATATATATATATATATATATACGTTTGTTTACCTGAACCTTTTGAAACACTAATCCAGACATGATGCCTCTTTGTATCCCTAAGTGTTTCAGTAAAATAGACAATTTCTGGCATAACCAAGTAAAACTATCAAAATCTGTAAATGAATAGTGATATAATACTAGATATAGTTTATTGACTTGATTAAGATTTTGCTAATTGTCCCATTGATATTCTTGATAAAAGACTCCCAGATCACGCTTTGTATTCAGTTGTATTCCTGCCCTGTAATCTGGAACAGTTTTTCAGTATGGAAAACCTGATGCCTTCAAGTCGATTCTGACTCAGCGTCCCTATAGGACAGAGAACTGCCCCCAAGGGTTCCCAAGGCTGTACATTTTCACAGAAACAGATGGCCCCATTTCTCTTCTGAGGACCAGCTGCTTGTTTCAGAACACCAAGTGCCCCTGAATTTGACATTGATGTTTCCTTGTGATGAAAGTTCTTCATTTTTTTGGCGTGAATACCACAGCAGCAGTGCCATGTTCTCATGCAACATAGCAGGAGACATGTGATGTCAGTGGGCTCCATTACTGGTGATCATTTGGTTAGGGTGGTGTCTATCAGGTTCTCCTGCTATAAAATTACTGTTTTTCTCTTTCTTATTAAGTATATTGTCGGGAAATATTTACTAATCTTTTTTTCTTTCTCTTTTTCTTTCCAGAGTGGTACTGGGAATGCCTTTTACGACCGTGGTTTTACAGGATACTTGCTGTGGTTTTGTCAATCTTCTCGATAATTGTCGTGTGGTCGGAGTGCACGTTCTTTAGCACTAGTCCTGTCTTGTCCCTCTTTGCCGTCTTCATACAGCTGGCAGAAAAAACATACAATTATATCTATATTGAGGTCAGTTTAGTTACATATTTGTCTTAAGTATCTGGCAGTTCATAGTCGATCCTTAACTGTTATCGCTTTTCTCCATGTTTTGTAGTCATAATGGAAGTAGTGAAGTTAAAAGTGGTATCATTCAGATTCCTAAAAATGAGCTTCACCAAATTACCTAAACTATACAACCTAGGAGCTGTATTTTAGAAGAGATACAAAATAGTGTAAAATTCTCTTCTAGGAATCCCTAGGTCCTCTTTATGCCAGTGAAGCTACATGGCACACAATACTGCCGTGGCGAATCCCCAGGGGCATGGGAAACCAGGCTCACTTCAGGAGGTGGATATGAAATTTACAAGACTAGGATGTTGAGCTGATTCAAATATAGATATTTATTTCATAGTTTCATTAGTTAGATGTCAAAAAAAAACTCTGTTTCTGTGCTTAGAGTTTTCACTCCATAATTTCTTAGCTGGGAATGAGGGATATGCTGTAACAGTGTATGATGTACTAGTTTAAAGTCCACTGATCTTTTTTCTTTTTTTTTTAGATTGCTTGCTTCCTTTCCATCTTCTTTCTAAGTATCTGTGTGTATTCTACTGTGTTCAGGATTCGTGTATTTAACTATTATTATTTGGCTTCACATCACCAGACTGATGCTTACAGCCTTCTTTTCAGTGGCATGTAAGTAGGATCATGCTTTGAAATGAGTAATGTCTCCGTCATATGCCTACTTATAGATCTCTCTTTTATGTCTTGCCATTTATGTGTAATTCCACTAACAGCTGTCTTTCTGTGAGCTATTGATTCATTGGATGGTGCAAATGATAAAGTGCTCAACTAATAACCGATAGATTAGTTCTAACTCACCCAGCTCTGAAAACCCCATCGAGCACTTCTGCTTTGCGCACATGGAGTTGCCCTCAGTTGCAATCAGCTCAACAACAACTAAAAACAACACATCCTTGATTTAAGTATTAAATAATAATTCATTGATTACCAAGTAAATGCTACTTGAAGTTTAAGGTTAAAGTAGACATGCTGAATTAGGAAAGAGACGAAAGACATGGTGATCCTAGATTTACCCACAAGAGGTTCAATAAATAAGTTAGCCAATAATGGGAACAATTGAGAATTTAAGGAGTAACTCAAGGTGGTAGAGACTGTTTTGAGCTTCGGTGGCCTCAAACTCACAAAGCAGCAGACAGTTTTTCCTGAAGGACTGAGTTCAGAGCGATGGCTCCAGTTTGGACGAGGTTGTGCAACTTGTCCTTTTTGTTAAGTCAGTAATATTTGGTATTTATGAAGGTTGGAGTTAGTGAAGATCACAAAGGAATCAAGACCTGAAACATCTCTAAAAAGCATTTTATTGTAAAAAAGCTTATTTCCCCCCTCCCCACAAAAACAATTAGAGACTCATAGGAAGTTGAAACAATAGTACAAAGGGTTCCATATAGCTTTCCCCCAAGTGGGACATCTTGTATGCCTGGTGTGCAGTATCAAAACCAGGAAATTGACAATGACATACTGCTGCTAACTAGACCACAGCCCTTGTTCCGTTTCCACCAGTTTTTAACCTCCATTCATTTGTGTATATGTGTGTGCCTGTGTATAGATTCCTGTAACTGTTAACACAGTCAAGGTACAGAACTACCCCAGTCATCATAAAAGAACTCCCTCATACACTTAAGCACTGAACTGGTAACTGCAAGGTCTGCAGTTCAAGCCCACCAGTTTCACTCCTCAGAAACTCTATTCAGGTTGCTGTGAGACAGAACCAACTTGATGACACTTAACAACAACATTCCCTCACCCCAATTCTCCATTTCTGTAGTTTTTTTAGGATTCTTCTTTATCTGGATCTGGTGCTGTGGGTTAATGTGCTGTACTGCAAAGTTTGAACCTTGAAGTCAACAGTTCAAGCTCACTAGCCACTCCTTGGAAACCCTATACAGGGTCACTATGGGTCAGAACTGACTTGACTGCACTTAACAACAAGAACAACAATTCTTTGTCGCTGCACTTGGCAGATTGACATATTTTTGAACTGCAGATGTTTTATGCACTGAGTAGAATTCACCTTGAGGTTATCACTGTTCTTGTCTTGCTGCTGAGATGGATTGCACAAACTATAGAATTGAAAGGGGAGCATGTGAATGCATTCCACAAATTGTTGGGATACCAAAACCCTTTGGTTCTAGCTCATAGTACAGCAGGGGCAACCATTACCAAAGCAGGCAGCCTGAGAGTGGGATGTTGCTGTGGATGTGTTGATGTCTTTAAAGGGGCTGTAGTTAATAGTATCAGAATGTCTTCCAAGAAAATAATGGCAATTATTCACACTACGAATTCAGAATATAAAATGCAAATAGATAAACTAATGCTGAAATATTCCTAATACATTTTCATGTAATACAAAATACATTTTGCTGCTTGATTTTTTAATATAGATTCTGTTTCAAAATTCTTACTGCAGGTTATTTTGCCGTTTAACTCCTCCTTTATGTCTTAATTTCTTGGGTTTAACGCATATGGATTCATCTATTTCTCATCAGAATACTCAGCCAACTGCTTATACATCTGTAAGTATGGTCAGAAAATTATTCTTTAGATTCACAATCTAATTGAGATGTTGTTATTTTGGAATTCCTTGTAATGCTGGCAGAAAGACTCTATAGCATTATTGAAATTCTTTTTCTTGATAACTAAACTTTTTCTTTGAGGGGGTTTCAAAAAGTTTGTGAGGGAAAAAAAAAAATGGAGTAAGAAGATAATGGAATTTTTCCAAAAACTTTTTGATGTCCCCTTGTATATAAAATTCCTAAAACTAGATAAAAGTACTTTCATCTAGTACTTTTTTTATTCACGTAGACTATCTGCGACATGTAAGTAGACATGACCTAAAAATAATCATTTGTATATTTTTTACTGTTAATGCATATAATTTTTAATAATATATATAAAATAATAATTTATTTATCACAAAAACTTAAAAAGCAAGTTAAAAAAAAGTCTGTATAGTGTTTTGCTTTTACTTTTGAAAAGTCCAAATTTATTTATTTCCTGGCTTATTGACTTTAAGCAAATTTTTTAATGATAAAGAGGAATGCAAAATATAGAATTACACTGATTTAATTTACTTTTTTCTTGTTCTTCAGATTATGGGTTCCATGAAAGTTTTATCCTTTATTGCAGATGGATTCTATATATATTATCCTATGTTGGTGGTAATTCTCTGCATTGCTACTTATTTTAGGTAAAAGACTTAACATTGATTATTCTTCCCTAATCTGGGGATATCGGTTCTCCTTAAAGCTCTTAAATATTTACTGGTTGGGTTTTCATTGTAATTTGTTTTCTTGTGGCTATGGTGGAGCTGGGAATAATCTGAAGGGATTGCTTGAGTTACCAGGTCAGGTTCTTCTGAGACCATTTTAAGGGAAAGAGAGCCTATTTAGACAACAAAGTGTTGGGATTAATTCAACAATGGTAGCTCTAAGTCCTAGTTTTGATACTGACAGTCAGTGAAGCCTGTAAAGTAAGTACCCCATGCACAGCTACTATCTAATAATACAAAATTGTCTTAGGGCTTTCCGACAAGTATTTCTAGGTTTTAGGTATTTCATACCACAGCCAGCACAAAGGGTTACCCACCCACTGCCATTGAATCAATTCCAACTCATAGCAACTCTATAAGACAGAGTAGAGCTGCTCCCTAGGGTTTCCAAGGCTGTAAATCTTGATGGAATTGTAACCAGGCATTGCATGTAGAGCTGAGAGATAATTTATTCCTACTTTTGAAACGTAAGTGGCCTACTATTTTTATTGGTATAAGAAAAAGTTTAGAATTTTAGCAAGGATAAAACTCAGAATGACCTACAGGATAAGTGTACTTGTCTCCTAGCACCCTGTCTTTCCTACTTGTCCTTGTCAGATGTGCACTATGTGGGTCTCTTCACTATTTAAGTGCTCTGTGAAAACCCATTGCCTTTGAGTTGAATCTGACTCCTAGAGACCTTATAGGACAGAGTAGAACTGCCCCACAGGGTTTCCAAGGCTGTGATTTTTACTGAAGCAAATCACACATCTTTCTCTCACAGAGCAACTGGTAGGTTTGAACTGCCAAACTTTAGCAGTCAACACATCAAAAATACTATTTTTTTCAAAGCAAGTCATTAATGTTACCTTTAATCAGCTTGCTTTTCCAACTAAAATTTAAGTCTCATGCATCTGCCTTTCATTTAAATCTTTCAGTACAATTACACCTTGTTGTTGTTGTTAGGGGTGGCATTGAGTTGGTTGTCACTCATTGCAACCCCATGAAGAACAGAATGAAACACTGTCCACTCCTGTGCCAGTCTCACAATCATTCCTGTGTTTGAGTCCACTGTTGTAGCTCCTGTTTCAGTCTGTCTCATTCAGGGGCTTCCTTGAGAGTCTTTCTCTTTTTCACTACTCTTTACTTTAGCAAGCATGAAGTTCTTCTCTAGGTCCCTCCTGATAATATGTCCAAAGTAAATGAGATGAAGTCTCACCACCCTTGCTTCCAAGGAGTATTCTGGCTGTACATCTTCCGACACAGATTTATTTGTTCTCTGGCAGTCCACAGCACATTCACTACTCATCTCCTACACTATAATTCAAAGGCATCAGTTATTCTTTGGTCTTCTTTATTCTTTGTCCAGCTTTCACATGCATACGAGGCGATTGAAAATGCCCTGACTTGGATCAGAAGCATCTTAGTCTTTAAAGTAGCATCTTTGCTTTTTAGCACTTTAAAGAGGTTTTTTTTGCAGCATATTTGCCCAATGTAATACGTTCTTTCATATCATGGGTGCTGATTGTAGATCCAAGTAAAATGAAATCTTTGACAACTTCAGTCTGTTCTTCATTTATTGCAATGTTGGTTACTTGCTCAGTTATGAGGATTTATGTTGAGGTAAAACCTGCATTGAAGATGGTAGTCTTTGATCTTCACCAGTAAGTGCTTCAAGTCCTTTTTGCTTTCAGCAAGCAAGTTGTATCATCTGCACATTGAAGGTTGTTATGAATGCAACAGCCTCCGATTCTGATGTTGCATTCTTCGTATAGTCCAGTTTCTCAGATGTTTTGCTCAAGATACAGATAGAGTAAGTATGCTGAGAGGATACATCCCTAATGCACACCTTTCCTGCAATACCATAAACTTTAAGTAGCACCATGGGACCCGTATGAAGTTCCACTAGTGATGTTGGAAGTACTCCTGAGAGACAGAAAAAAGCCATAACATTACAGGAAGTTGAATTGCTTGATATGTACCATAAATTGAAGTCTGCAGCTGCAGTTGCCTGTCATTTCAAGATAAATGAATCTGACATAAGGACCGTTGTAAAAAGGAAATTTATGAAGCTGTCACTGCAGCTGTGTCAGCAGGCAGGAAAACCTTACAATTTTGTGAAATAACCTTTTTATCTAATTTTGAGAATGTGGTTTTTATGTTGGTACAGTATATAATGTAATATACAAAATATTGTTAGTTGACAATGTATGTTATTGGGAAGGCCTCCAGTCAACAGCAGGGTATTAGTTAAGTCTAAAGCCCCTAATGCCTACATTTTTCAAGAGTTTGTAATGTGTGTCTTCTCATGTTACGAGTCTGGCAGCAGGATAAGCATCTCTTCTTATTAGACTGCAGGTTAAGTGATAATAGCATGTTTTGTCAACTATGAAATCTTTATAGGGATTATTTTACCCCAAAGGAAAAGTTTTAAACTTAAAAGTTATCATTAAAAGTGTCATTCTAGAGTTAGTTATGATGAATTTTGAGTGCCATTTTGCCTTTAAGGAAAAATAAAGTCCAGTCCATATTCCTGAATTTTCAAATTATCCTTTTTAAAAAAAAAAGTTTTATTGTGATTTAAGTAAAAGTGTTACAGAGCACATTGTGTTCCATTCAGCAATTACTACACATTTTGTTTTGTGACACTGATTATAGTCCCCACAAGGAAGCACTCTTTATACTTCCTTCTGTGTTTGCTTGTTTACATTTTTCCTTCTTTCTTATATATTCCTGCTTTCAGAGCTTGATTCCTGGGCAAATGTTGCCTTTTTGATCGTGTTCTAAGGAGTCTGAACCACCCTGGTGTTATTATTCGCCTTATAGATCTGTCTCTTGGGTAACTGAAAGGTGAACCGTGGAAATAAGTTCAGTTCCAGGCCTGAAGATTGACTAAGGTCCATACTGTCCTGGTTTCTACCAGTCTCTGTAAGACCAGTAAGCCTGGTCTTTTTTTAGCCTTTTGAGTTTTGCTCTACAGTCTTTTTCCATTCTATCCACGTCCTTCTATCATTTCCCTTTTAGAGTGGTCTGTAGTATAAGCTGGACCCCATCTAGTTCTCCTAGTCTCAGGTTAATGGAGGCTGATTGATGTTCATTGTGTTCTGTTAAGCCTTTGGACTCATTGTTTCCATCCATCTTTGATTTTCTTCACTCTTCTTTCCTCCAGACAGAGACCACTAGTTGTACCTTAGATGGCTACTTATGAGCTTTTAAGACCTAAGGCACTACTCACCTAAGTAGGCTATAGAACAGTGTCTTTGTGGACTATGCTGTGCCAGTTGACTTTAATGTCCCTTGAAACTGTGGCCCAGCAACTTATTCCCTCAAGGTGTTTGGCTTTGGCTAGGGGCTTTACACCATAAATTTGCTCTGTGTTTGCTCTATTATCTACATGGATAGATTTACAGAACATATAAGCACATCTGTAGAAATACTATCTACCAAACTTACATATGGTCATGAGTATAGTTCCTTTCACCTACTGACACTTGTAGATTAATGCTAGTTATTACTGATGCTACAGGTTGTGTATATATTAGTATTTACCTTTGAACACCTCTCTGTGTCTTCCTTTTCATTAGTGAAATTGTACTTTCATATTAACTTGTGAAATAGATTTTCTCTACAAATATGAAGCAAAATTTTACTGGCATTTCATTGTTAGGTTGATTTTATAGGTTCATATTCATTTAAAATGCTAAATCAATTTAACTAATTCCTATATGAGTTGGAACCGACTCCACTGCACATAACAACAACAACATACTATTAGGTGGAGTTCTGTCATGGTACTGCGGGTTAATGCACTGCACTGCAAGTTCGCGCTACATTGTAAGGTTCAAGCTCACCAGCCACTCCTTGGAAACCCTATACAGTGGTTCAAGGTCACCAACCACTCCTTGGAAACCCTATACAGGGTTGCTATGGGTCAGAACTGACTTGATGGCAGTTAGCAATACTATTGGCAACACCAGTGTTTTTATTGTTACGTGCAGTTGATTCAGCTCAACTTATAGTCACCCTATACACAACAGAATGAAATACTGCACCATCCTGTGCCATCCCAACAAATTGTTAAACTTGAGCCCGTTGCATTTCCATCTTGCTAGAGGTCTTCTTTTTTGCTGACCTTCCACTTTACCAAGCATAATGTCCTTCTCCAGGGACTGGTCTCTCCTGATAATATGTCCAAAGTATGAGAGATGAAGTTTGTTCATCCTGGCTTCTAAGGAGAATTCTGGCTGTACTTCCAAACACCCTTGACTTGCAATATTGAAGGATTCTGTGGGCTTGAATTTTTTTCTTTCAGCTTGAGAAATGCTGAGCGTGTTATTCCCTTTTGATTTTCTGACTCCAGGTCTTTGCACACTTCATTATAATACTGGAGTTTGTCTTCTCAAGCTGCCTTTTTGAAATGTTCTGTTCAGCTCTTGTACTTTCTTATTTCTCTTTCTTAATTGCTTAAGCATCTCCGTGTGCTGGAGAACAAATTTCAGAATGACATCCATTTTGGTCTTTTCTTTCCTTTCTTCCTTTTTCATGACCTTTAGCTTTCTTCCTTTATGATATTCTGGCCGTTGGTCATTAGTGTCTAATGCATCAAGCCTGTTCTTGACATGGTCTCTAAATCAGGTGGGTATGTTTAAGGTCATACTTTGAATCTCGAGAACTTGTTTTAATTTTCTTCAACCTGAACTTGGATTCCAGCAATTGAAGGTCTGTTTCACAGTTAGCCCTTGGCCTTGTATTGGTTGATGATAATGAGCTTTTCCATTGTCTCTTCCCACAGATGTAGTCAGTTTGATTCCTATATATTCCATCTGTATAATGAGGTGAGATCCATCCATAATCACCTTTTATGTTGTTTAAAGAAAGTATTTGCAATGAAAAAGTAATTAATCTTGCTAAATTCTAGTATTTCTATCACTAAGGCTGTATTTTCCAACTCCTGGCCCTTTCTCTTTGCTTCCATTCTAATCACTAGTAATTGTCAGTACATCTTGATTGCATGTTTGATCATTAGTTGATTCCAGCTAAAGAAGTTGGTAGAATTCTTCAATTTGATTATTACTGGCTTCAGTGGTTGGTACACAAATTTGAATAATATTGGTATTAACTGTAATTGTAGGTGTATGGATATTATTCTAGCAGAGACAGTGTTGTATTTCAAGACAGATCTTGAAGTGTTCTTTCTTATGATGTTGTTAAGTGCCGTCGAGTCGGTTCCGACCCATAGCGACCCTGAACAGGGTTTCCAAGGCTGTAAATCTTTACGGGAACAGAAAGCCTCATCTTTCTCCCATGGAGCAGCTGGTAGTTTCGAACTGCTGACCTTGTGGTTCGCAGCCCGATTCATAACCACTACGCTACCAGAGCTCATGCTACATTATTCATCTTAAATTTGTCATTCCTGGAATAGTAAACCATGTGATTGTCAAACTCAAACTGGCTAATACCTGTCCATTTCAGTTAATGCTTAGGATATTAATCTTTATGTGTTCCATTTCATTTTGACAATTTACAATTTACTAGATTAATACTTTGTACATTCCATGTTCCAATTAATAATGGATATTTACAGCTGTTTCTCCTTATTTTGAGTTGTGCCCTGTCAGCAAATGAAAGTCCCCAAAGCTATACTCTGTTTACATCATCCATGGTCAACTCAACTTTGAGGAGACAACTCTTCCCCAGCCATGTTTTAAGTGTCTTCCAACCTGAGGATCTCAGCTTCTGGCATTATATCTGACAATATTCTGGTGCTATTTATAATGTTTTTGTTTATCAGCACTATATCTGCCAATTTTCCATTGCTATTTATAATAGGGAGCTCTGGTAGCGTAGTGGTTACCAATAGGGCTGCAAACCGCAAGGTCAGCGGTTCGAAACTACCAATTGTTCCATGGGAGAAAGATGAGGCTTTCTGCTCCTGTAAAGATTTACAGCCTCAGAAACCCTGTACAGGGTCGCTATGAGTCGGAACTGACTCCACAGCACATAGCCACCACCACCACTACCATTTATAATAGAGCCTCACCCAGAGCTAATATACAAATTTGCCTACCTTGAAAACATAAGACTGTTTGGTAACACTTTAGACCAAGCTAAGATCTCCCCAGAGACAGTGATCTAGTTCTAGGCTTATAGTGGTGTGTAGTATTCCCCCCAGGATATGAAAGTCGTAAGAGACTGTTTCAAATAAAAAAATATACAAGACTTTCTTCCTGAAAAGACTCATTTTCTGTAGTAGTGATTCATATAAGACATTTCTTTCACATTAAAACAAACACATTATTATGAACCCTTCTAGATCCTTGTACATTTTGATGTTTGTAAGACGGAAGGCCTCCACTTTCTTTTAATTGCCCTCTTATTTCCCTACCTCCCAACACACAGTCATTTACTTTCTCACTTTCTCTTTCTCTGCATATGTATGTACGTGTTCAGGTTTCCTGTCACGAGAAATATATCAATGAGAATGTTTGAAAACTAATGTAATAAAAAGACCTGGTCTTTGCTTCATCTTGGTTTTAAATTCTAACTCTATACATCACTGAATGGCAGTTAGCAAAGTATTTTACATTTTGGGCTTCTGCCTCCTTATCTGTAAAGTGACATTTATCTCCTAGAGTTGTAGTAAGAATGAAATACGAGAGTATCGATAAGTTAGCTAACACATATAATCCTGTATACCAATTCTTTCTAGTCTATGTTTTCAGAGTGTATCATTTTTGCAGACTTGACTAGTTCTCAGAAAACAAAGAATAAAGAAACCATGGTGAAGACAAATTTCCATGAAATGTTCTAACTAGAATATTTTATAGTTGTAAATTTTGGTTGTATATGTCTATTTCCACTTAAAACTGATATTTGAATATAAGAAAGGAATAAATTGGGAATGCAAGATCAGTTTGAACCTCAAGGTTGTCAGTTCAAACCCACCAGCAGCGCCTTGGAAACCCTATACAGGACATTATGAGTTGAAACCGACTCAATAGCACTTAATGACACAACAATATTATATCCGTTTAGCATCCTTGTATAATGATTTTCTGAAGGTATGCTAATGGCTTAATTTAATGTGCTTCCATAGGAAATCTAAGTATAGTGATATCTACAGTCAGTAGATCATTAGTTATAAGTTTCTTGGAAATGAAAATAAGTACTTTTGAATAACGACAGAAACTTAGGCCTTTTGGGGAATAATAATACTAAAGTTTGCTTAAGCATTTTCTGTGTGAGCTAACAGCTGTCTTTTTTTAAATCCATTGCTATTAGCTTGGGAACCCGTTGTTTGAATCTGCTTGGTTTCCAGCAGTTTATGGGAGATAATGATATGACATCTGACTTAGTTGATGAAGGAAAAGAATTAATCAGACGAGGTAAGATTTATCTTTTAAAATAAATGAAGGGATGATGCTGAATCAGAATGTAAAATTAATGTTTATTAAAATTTTAAATAGTTTTTCATCTAAAGAAATTATAAATTAATGTAGTTTTGTTAGCTAAATATTCACATAACAGCTTTCTTAGCAAAAGTAATTAGAAAACAACAATCTTTTCATCTGTCTGTAAGAAATTCTGCATCAACTTATTAGTATGTCTACCACTTTGTCTGGTCTTAGAGTCATTTTCATGTTTGCCTTAAAATGTATTTGCCAAGTTCTATACAGATGTTGTTGTTGTGCCCTAACTTTGCAGCCCAGTGCCCTAACCCACAGCGCCACACAAAAACTCACTAATTTAAGGAACATCAGTATAGTGTTATGTAAGCAATCATTCAAGTCAAAGCTGTTTTCTTAGAATGTGATGATTGTTAACAGTCTCTTAGAATACATGCCACCCAATTAGATTCTAATTTCAGAATTGAGTGTATTAAATTTGCTTATATTCGAGTGATGGTAAAGTAAAAAAAAAAAAACAAACATAAAATAAGAAAAACAAAACATAAATTAAATTTTGGGACAATGGTTCTTTGTCATTATCCCTTCCTGGATATGAGACCTTTGTATGATCACTGTTGTTATTGTAGTTGTATGCCATCAAGTTGGTTCTGAGTCTTAGCGATGCTATATAGGAGTTTCAGGATCTGATAGTGGGTTTGAACTGCTGACCTTGAAGTTCCTCCATTGCTTATCCTACAGTGCCACACCAGCACTCAACAGTATGATCTTTAGTTGCATGTAAACCGAAAAATATATTATTATTTTTGTTTAGTGCTGTCAAGTCGGTTCTGACCCATAGTGACCCTGCATAGGGTTTCCAAGGAGTGGCTGGTGAGCTTGAACTGCCAACCTTGCAGTTCAAACGACTTTGCAGTCCATTGCATTAACCCACAGCACCGCAGCAGGACTCCAAAAAGTATATTACAGCTCTAATAGAATAGAGCTAGAGTAGGTTTGGCTTTCATAGTAATAAGATGTCTGGTCGATGTAATAGTTCTACTGCTTTTTTACTAATTAGACCTCATGTGTTATCATATCCAGTCCTGTGTAAGATCCTCAGGAGTAAGACTGACAAATCAGGAAGTACTTAGAGGAAAACAGCCAGAATCATGAGTCTTTAGAACCTACCTGAAGTCCTGGTGTGGCGCTGTTGTAGGATAAACACTGGACCACAACGTCAGTTTGAACTATGTCAGTTCAAACTTACTAGCCACTCCTTGGATATCCTATAAAGGGTCGCTGAGTCAGAACTGACTCAACAGCACTTAACAACAACAACAACAACAACCTATCTGTCGAAAGGGTGTGGGGGCCATGTCTGACTTTCTCTAACTTCACAAGGGGAAAGGAGAATCAAACTCAGTATCAACTCAAGGCCAGTTCCTCTGAGGCAGAGATCAGACATGCCTCCAGCTCGTCCCTCCTTAACCAATTCTGACTCTAACTGTCTTTCCCACAGCAGTCTTTCTCTGCTGGGTTTGATAATCCATTGTTGTGGCAACACAGAACTCACAGACAATAAAAAATTGTAGGGTTTATTATTGTAACTGTTAACAGGTTACAGTTAATGATCAGAAATGCTCAAGATATAGTTCTTCAGATCCGGCATGCCTCTCTCTGGTCCTCGGTCTCTTGACCACATGGTCCCTAAGCCTTTACCCTTTTTGGGCAATATTGCAAAACTTCTTTAGCATATTACTACACCATAAGCCTCAGCCCGAGTGCACTCAGCAATAGCTTGGTGGATCAACAAGCCTTGATGATCAGTGCATGGAGGTAACCCACTCCATAAGCCAGCCTCCTACCTAAAATCACTCAGCTTTCTCTCTCTGTGGACTAAAAAGGCCACCTCTACGCTCTGTCCCGTGACTTGGTTTTAATATTGTTCTGGTGCTCCTCTTTGTCTCCTGGATTGAGGAGGTTCACATCGCAGGGATCTCAGCATCCAAAGCATGTACTCCAGTCCTGGCTCTTCTTTCTTGATGCTAGTTGTTGTTGTTAGGTGCCATCGAGTCGGCATCGACTCATAGCGACCTTATGCACAGCAGAACGAAACAATGTCCGATCCTGGGCCAACCTCACTACTGTTGCCACACTTGAGTCCATCGATGCTGCCACTTGGCCAATCCATCTCCCGCTGCGGGTCTTCCTCTTTTTCTCTGACCCTTCATCTTACCAAGCATGATATCCTTCTCCAGCAACTGTTCCCTCCGGACAATATGTCCAAAGTATGAGAGACGAAACTTAGCCATCCTGGCCTCAAAGGAGCACTGTGGCTGCACTTCTTCTAAAACAGATCTGTTGGTTCTTTTGGCAGTCCATGGCACTTTTAGTATTCTCCTTCAACACCACAATTCAAAGGCATTGATTCTTCTACAGTCTTCCTTATTCATTGTCCAGCTTTCACATTCATATGAGGCTATTGAAAATACCATGGCTTGGGTCAGGCGCACCTTCGTCCTCAAGCTGACATCTCTGCTCTTCAACACTTTAAAAAGTTCCTATGCAGCAGATTTGCCTAATGCAATATGTCGTCTGATCTCTTGACTGCTGCTTCCATGAGTGTTGATACTTAGATCTCCCCAATTCTGCATTAATCCTGTTAACAGTCCCCCACAACTGAGTCATAATTCAGCATCTTCCCCCACCTTTTCTTACCCAGACCCATCAGGAAAAGAGGTAGTACGCCCAGTATGCATGATCCCACGCATTCATTTGGTGGGAGTTACAGAGACTATGACTAGAAGAACCATATCAAGTCAATCACTGCCCCACACTATCCTATGAATAAAACCATTGAAGGAGCAGAATCTATAGTCCAAAGATAATAATAACCAAGGAAAAGACCCTTAGGTAGAAAGAAGAAAGGTGTGAACTTAATTGAGAAGTAAGAGCTGAAGAAAAACACAGACATTACAGAGAAACAAACTTCAGGTCACCGTGATAAAGAGCTTTTCACTTCACTGAAGTTCTTTAGGCAGAGATTAGAGGGCTATCGCCCAAAAAAATGGAGAAATTACTCCCAAATTGAGTCCTTTCCAACAATAATCTATTATATGTGACTTTATAGTAATTTGATAATTGGTCGTAGCATGATACATTAACTTCAGTTCTTATACCTCTAACTAAACCATATTGTACCAAATTTGAGACTGTTTTTCTGTCTTTAGAGAAGAGAAAAAGGCAAAGGCAAGAAGAAGGTGAAAACCGGAGAAGAGTAAGTACAATACTTACTGGTCTACTAAAGACTGTTGTCAAATATCATAAAAATCAGACCATAAGGTCAGTTTGAACGGCCAGCCGCTCCATGGAAACTCTACTTAGGGTCACTATTAGTCAGAACTGACAATGGCACTTAACAACAACAACTCAGACCTCGTAATTTCTCTGTGATCTAGTGAGAGCATCAAAAAGACAGTCATGATATTTCAGGATGATATTTGCAGTCACAGGAAAGTGAATTAGGGGACTTTTTTTAGGTTCTGAGGGTTCAATGAGAAGAATCTCAGTTAATATGTAGTTTTACTGCAGTTCAGAATATTTACAATGGAATGAGTCATAGTATCAATTATGTTTATATACAATTTTAAGTGTCACAGAAAATAAATTTTCAGGTCTCTTTCTGAATTCTCATAACTTATGCATTGTCAAATTAAGCTTGATGTAGTTGTAATATGGTTTTGACATTTTGAATAAAACAAAACCAAAACTGAATAATTTACCAGAGTCATTCATAGCAAGGAAAATGTCTATACGTATCTTCATCTGTAAAAGTTAAGTGTTGATAGTAAAGTGTCGTCAAGTCAGTTCTGATTCATAGCAGCCCTGTACGTAAATTCTGAGGAGCAGCTGGTGGATTTGAACCACTAACCTTATAGTTAGCAGTCAAGTGCTTATTCTGTAGCACCACACCAGGACTCCAAAGCTAAGTGTTGCCGTTGTTGTTAAGTGCCGTCAAGTTGGTTCCGACTCATAGCAACCCTGTATAGGGTTTCCAAGGAGCAGCTGGTGAGTTTGTACCAGCAACCTTACAGTTCATACTGACCTTGGTGTCCAGTGCTTATCCTGTAGCACCTCACCAGGACTTCCAGTTAAGGGTAGGGACTATTCAAATCATGTAAAGATAAAAGAAATTACTTATATTTAAAGGCACTATGCTACAGAGCCACTAAAAGTCTGAATTAACTCAATGGCAGTGGGCTTGTGCTAATTTTCAGGAGCCCTGCTGGCACACTGCATTAAGTGCTGAGTTGTAACCAGAAAGGTTGATCATTCAAACCCACCAGCTGTTCTGTGGGAGAAAGATGAGGCTATCTACTCCCATAAATATTTAAAGTCTTGGAAACCTAAAGAGGGCAGTGGG